GTACGTACGTTCGTTATTTATTATTATATTATATATATATATATATATATATATATATATATATATATATATATATAAAAGGGGGTCGGCTTGGGAGTGCTGATTAACCCAGTCCTCTCAGACGTGCTCTGTTAATGTGTGTGTTCGGCTGATTCTGGGGCTGGAAGAACCCAGCCCTGGGGAGCATAGGTCCTGAAGGATAGCTCCATTGGGAGGGAACTTGCAGCAGGGAGAAAGAGAGCTCTGTATGAGAACACAAGTAGTACAGTAATTGAATTACAGAACCCCTCCCCTCCAAAGAGTAACCCTAATAAATGAGCATACCCCAAAGTAACTGGCAAATCTGGTAACACTGTTGTAGCTGGGATATCAGACTAAATAGATTCATTAGTCTGTTCTAGTGCTCCTTGCAACGGAGACAGAAATCTGTATACTTTATTAGGTATGTCTACTCAGACCAAGGAAGTGAGCCTCACAGCTTAAGTCAGGCTATCAGCGTTCACACTGGCACTCTAAAAATAGCTCTGTAAACAGCTATTTGAAATTACAGCTTGGGTTCTGAAGCACAGGAAAGGTGGGTAGGCCTCACAGCCTCATCTACACAGCCAGCCTGAGTCTCTTGACTGGGCTGGGAGGCTCAATTCAGCAGGTTTGGGGACATACCCAAAGAGTATGTCTACACTGTAATGCATGCCCAGGCTCAAGCCTAACCCCCTTTGCATCTACACTACAATTTGTGCTAACCCAGGGCTCAGATCCCAGGACCCTGCAGAGCTGGAAGGTCTGAGTTTGAGTTAAACTGGAACCCAGGGTCTGAGCTCTATTGCTTTGCAGTGTAGATGCAGCCCTGCTTAATTCAGGTCCTGGGAGTCAGCTGGAAGTATTCCACAGTTCCATAGGACAACTGCCTTAGTTCGCTCTAGCTCAGTGGTTCTCGAACTTCATTGCACCACAACCCCCTTCTCACAACAAAAATTACTACATGATCCCAGGCAGGACCAAAACCTCAGGCCACCTGAGCACCACCACTGGGGGGGAGGGAGCAAAGCTGAACCTCAGGGCTTCAGTCCCAGGCAGGGGGCCTGTAATCTGAGCCCCACTGCCAAGGACTGACGCCTGAGCCCTGCAGCCCAAGGCTGAAGCCCTTGGCTCATCTTTGGCCTCAAGCAGTGGAGCTCGGATTTTGGCCCCGGGCCCCAGCAAGTCTAACACCAGTCCTGGTGACCCCATTCAAACAGGGTGGTGACCCACTTTGGGGTCCTGAGAGAACCCCTCCTCTAGCTCAACAATCTACAATCCACTCTATTGAAAGCAGAAGTCACCCATGCTTTGCAAATAGCAGCAGTTCTGGTCAGCATTAACCCATTCTCTTCCGATCACTCATCTGCAAGCACGCTATCAGCCATCCTCCTGGGTTTGCAGTGGGGAGTGAAGCAAAATGTAAGTGCAGGCTGGATGGTAAAGTTTTCCAGTAGTACAGCATGGTCCTAGGGCTAGAGTGGCCACATTTTGGGAGAGAGGAGCACTAGGGACTTTGGAATATGCTTATTTTGACTCGGGTCTGCGCCCCACCCTGGGCATGCCAGAGCCTTAGTTTTGAGCATGGGTTAGAAAAGTCTTAACGTATGGTTAAAGTATAGCATAGAGATGCTCAAGCCCAAGGTTCCCTCTCACAGGTTATCTGCCTCAGGTCTCACTAACCCTGATCTTACATTGCTGCCTGTGACCCTTTGAAGCCAGTGGACATAGATCATGTAGTCCTCCCTAGCCCTCAGCAGCTGACTGATTAATACAGTGTGTGCTGCCTGCTGGTATTGCACAGGGTTTCCTTAACTGCTGGCCTAAATCCTTCCTTGGCCTAAATAGTCACATAACCGAAACTACACAATCAACTACATAATCCATGATTAACGTGAAAAAAGCCTTTCCCCAGCCAGCATTGAACTACTATCAGACAAATGTTAGACCCTTAAATCCATTTGTCCCGCTCTCCCCACTCCAGATCCTGATTCCTGGGGTTTGAGTTCCCACTTCATCGCCTGTTCCCTCTATTCCCCCTCCCCTCAATCTCACCAGCTCTTCCAAAGCCTCCCCCCGCCCCCATCTGCTTCCTCGGCCCGTTCCCCCAGCAAGGGCGGCTGCCCAGGTTGCACTAACGGAGGGAGTTAATGCCGGCTGCTCTGGGGTTAATCTCAGGCTGCAGGCGGTGACCGCGCCACTGCCCTCGCGCACACGAAAGGCACCGCAGCCCCACGGGCCACGGCTTGGCCCTGCACGGGGAGCGGCCCATGCGCGCGCTCCCTCTGGGCCATATTCAGATGAGAGGCGGCGCGAGGCTGCCTGCACCGAAGACCTGAGGGGGGGGGGGATGGGAGGAGAAGCATCGCTCGCAGAAAACGATGCTTTGGCAGCTCCCCGCTACCAGCACGCGTAGCTGCGTTCCTCGGTCCGCGCGTGCGCAGCGCGGGAGTTGGCTGGGTCTTCCCCGTGCGAGAAACATCTGACGTTGGCTTTGGAGCGAGGCCGACGTGGTGGCGTTAGGCGCAGGGGGCGGGGCTGAGGCCGCCCCGCGTCATTGGCGCTTCGTTCGAAGTGGAACCTTCGGTGACTGGTCTGGCGCGGCCCCTGAGTGGCGCGCGGGGCGCCATGGAGCCCGGGCGCGGTCCGGGGGCTCTGCCGGGCACGGAGGTGGGCGACAGGGCTGGCGGTAGAGCGATGCCGGGGGAGCGCGGCGCCTGGCATGGGGCTGGCACTGGGGGCGGAGCTGGCACTGGGG